CAATCATGCTAAATGGAGAAAAGACTAAACGTCAATGATTTCATTATACGTGGGTTTACAATCAATGCTCTTGGAAAACTTCAGTCAAGATATCAAAGAACATATTAAACCCAAATCAAACCCAGTGACATCGAATCAATTCCAACTCTGATTGGCCCTATTTGGGTTTCCCAGGCTGTAACTATTTAAAGGGGAAGACAGCCTCATCTTCACCTGACCAGCAGCTGGTAGGTTTGAACTACTAACTCTTACCAACAGCGCCCCCACTAGGCTAATCAGCGGCACCAAACCAAGCTAAACTCCCTGCCATTTCGTGACCTTGTAGGACAAGATAAGAACTGCCCAGGTGTGTTTTGGAGACTGTAATTCTTGACTGAAGTAGAAAGTTCCGCCTCTCTCCTGCGGAGCAGCTGGTGGTTTGGAACTGAGGACTTTGAGGTTAGCAGTCCGATGCTACCCCGCTACGCCAGCAGGGCTCCTCAGTCAGCTGCACACGATCTCTGAAAGAGTTGAAGAACAAAGCTGTCACTTCGGGAACTAAAGCGCAACTCATTTTACATACTTTGGATGTAAAGTTAGGAGAGACCAGTTCCTATAGATCAGTGGTTCTCAACCTTCCTACTGGCCGCAACCCTTTCATACAGTTCGTCATGTCGTGGTTCCCCCCAACCATAAAAATATTTTTGTTGCTACTTCATAACTGTAATTTTGCTACTGTTATGACTCGGGTGACCCCTGTAAAAGGGTTGTTGATCCCCAAAGGGGTCGCGACCCACAGGTTGAGAACCGCTGCTATGGACGGCCATCATGACTGGAAAAGTGGAGGGGAGGTGAGAAAGAGGAAGACCCCTAAGGAGGGTGGACTGACACAGTGGCTGTAGCAATGGGCTCAGGCACAGGGACAATGTGAGGATGGCGCTGGACCGTGAAGCGTTTCATTATGTTCTGCGCAGGGTCCCAATGGGTCAGATTCGACTCCATGGCACCTACCAACAACAACAACACCACGGACTGCCAAAAGGACAGACAGATCTGTTTTGGTAGAAGCACACCAGAATTCTCCTTAGGAGAAGGCTAGTGAGACTTCTCTCAGGTACTTTAGACATGTCAGCAAGAGAGGCTTGTCCAGGAAAAGAACGTTATGCTAGGTAATGGAGTAGGCCAACAACGAAAAGGAGGAAGACTCACAACAAGACAGACTGACACAGAGGCTGCAACCATGGGCTCAAACATTTGAACCATTGCGAGCCTGGCACAGGACCAGGCACTGTTCGGTTCTAGTGTGCGTAGATAGGATTGCTATGAGTCCGAACTGACTTGCTGGTCCCTATAACAACAGCAACCCGTAACCGATGCGTGTGGAAGTTGCACATTGACTAAGGAAGACTGGAGACGAAGCAGTGCATTTGAATTATGGAAATGGTGAAAATATTCTAAGTACTTTGGACTGCCAAAAGAACAAACAAATCTTCCTTGGAAGAAGTACAGTCAGAATCCTCCTTTGACGGGAGGCTGGCAAGACTGTCTCTCTTACTTGGGAAATATTGCCGGGAGAGACCAGTTCCTGGAAAAGGCCATTCGGTCGGATACAGTAGAAGGGCAGTGAAAGAGAGGAAGACATCGAATGAGATGGACTGACACGGTGGCTGCCACAGTGGGCTCACACGTCACTCTTGTGAGGGGATCACAGGACCAGGTCGTGTTTCGTTCTGTGGTGCATCGGGTAGCTCTGCGTGAAACAGATTTGAAGACACCTAACAACAAGGAAAACCTATGTTAATTAGTATTTTTTCTGTGAAACAGGCAGAAAACACACGTATCTCGTTATTGTTTTGAAGATTAAGAGAGGACTCATGTAAAGATGGTAGAACTGCATCTAAACTAAACCAAACTCAACTGCCAACTCATTCATAGTGACCCAGAGAGCTTCTGAAACTGTAAATTTCCCCCCGACTATATTTAGCAGAGGATTTTATTTTCCCTTTCATATATTATTAAAAATAACCTCCATTTGATGGGCACCTAACTCACCTATCATACAATTCAATTGTTCAACCATATCAAAAAGAGTTATACAATCATTAGCACAATCGATTGTAGAGCATTTTCTTTCTTGTACTCATGGTTATTTTCTCATTTCCTCCCAACCTCCCCTGCAATGTTCTTAAGGGCGCAGAAAACCTGGTCTTTCTCGTCAGCTGTGGCTGCTCCTGGGGAGAAAGATGAGTCTGTTTGCTACAGTAAATATTTACACTCTTAAAAAAACCTATATAGGGTCCCTATGAGCTGGGATAATCTCAACAGCAGTGCGTTGTTGGGGTTGTCATTAGCATTATTACCTTTATGAACACTTAGTTATTTTTAATGACAAGTTGATAAGAACTCGTAGGTCACTCATCTAATAATAGAGGCAAGTAGGGCTGGATATCCTTTTTAACTCTTTCTGCCCTTGCTCTCTCTCTGGACTTGAGTCACTAACAACATAGGTTCAAGTCCTTATAGCTATTGGGAGGGTTGACCCATAGGATTATTTTATTAACTTTGCCCTGTTATGACAGACCAATGAAAGAGAACAGTTCAGAAGTTAATAATCTAGAATCAACTTGATGGCATTGAATTTTCTTTCTTTCTCTTTTTAAATCATTTTATTGGGGGCTTGTACAACTCTTATCACAATCCATACATGCATCCATTGTGTCAAGCACATTTATTGCCATCATCATTCTCAAAACGTTTTCTTTCTACTTGAGCCCTTGGTATCAGCTCATTTTTCCCCTCTCCCTGCCCC